GTTGTATCCCAGAAGTGAGGCTGAGGGAAAAACTAAGAGGTGTAATTGTTTTTATTATCACTCTCTAACTGGGTTTCAGTTCTCCATATCCCCCTTTTTCTCCACCAGTGTAATCAGTCTGTTCAGCACAGGACTAGATCTGTGAACTGAAAAAAACAAAAAAATTGCTCAGAGGATTTCATACAATACTTATGTAAGAATCAAATTGAATGCAGTACTTAAACTTTGCAAAGTGGCTGGGATGGTAGTTAATATTCGTGCTCTTCAAGAAAGCAAGGAAAGAATTGGAAGGGTGCCAGGAGAGAATTTTTAAAATCAGAATCTCATTCTTGCAGAGGTTGTGAAATAGCTTATTGCCCGAATCATAAATTCACTCCAGATAAATCAAGACAGAGTGGGTAATATCCAAGAACCAGGGCTTGAGACTACAGTGCAGCCCAGCCTGAGGAGTCATTCACTGCAGAAACATGATTATGGGGCACACTTTTTGAGTCTCTGGAAGTATTATCTACCTGGTGTTTTGACCCTTATAATTCAGAGCAAAAGTAAATGTTACATTTAATAGAGTAATTGGAAATACAGAAACTTAAAACTGCAGAATTATATATGCTGTGTACATCAAGTGGCCTGATGGCAGGGTATCCTTGAAGTCAAGTTTGGTGGTGTTGTACATCTGCTTAAATGTTATTCAGAAAGCTATCTTAACACATTCTCTACATTTGGCCTGCTGAATTTGTCAGCGGTAAAGCACAGACGCTTTTGTTATACTAGTGGGGAAAGATGTAATGAAACTCTTCTAGCCTTGAATGGAGGCTATAGTACAATTAGCTGAAGGTAACCTACACAATTCAGTGATGATAAAACACATTAACTTTTTCGCCTGGGTGATGTCCTGCATACCTTATGAAGATTCTCAGTAGTTTTTTCACCTCCCACTCAGAACTTTGCATTATAGCAGGGTTCAGTGGTGTTCCCATCATATTTGTTAACATCACATTCACTTAGAAATTGGACAGAAGGGATTTCTGCATAACACTGAGCATCACAATCTCTCTCCCTTTACATTGAGTGCGAAACATCCGGACCTTGCCAACCAAATAAGATTGTGTCTGGAGTTATTTTTGAATGGCAGCTCAATGTTATTGTGGAGTGATTGGGTCCATGTGATCTATTTTTACTTTCCTTTTTTCTTTTGATTTGAAATGAATATATTAGCAAGAGGTCTATCAAGTGATTTAAAAAATTAATCGCAATTAATCACACTGTTAAACAATAATAGAATGTTGTTTATTTAAATATTTTTGGATGTTTTCTACATTTCAAATATATTGATTTCAATTACAACACAGAATACAAAGTATGCAATGCTCACTTTTATATTTATTTTTGTTACAAATATTTACACTGTACAAAATAAAAGAAATAGTATTTTTCAATTCGTCTAATACAAGTACTGTAGTGCGATCTCTTCTTCATGAAAGCTGAACTTATAAATGTTGAATTATGTACACAAAAACTGCATTCAAAAATAAAACAATGTAAAACTTTAAAGCCTATAAATCCACTCAGTCCTACTTCTTGTTCAGCCAGTCGCTAAGACAGACAAGTTTGTTTACATTTGCAGGAGATAATTCTTCCCACTTCTTGTTTACAATGTCACCTGAAAGTGAGAATAGGCATTCGCATGGCATTGTTGTAGCCAGCATTGCAAGATATTTACATGCCAGATGCGCTAAAGATTCATATCTCCTTTCATGCTTCAACCACCATTCCAGAGGAAATGCATCCATGCTGATGACCGGTTCTGCTCGAGTACGGACCAATGCATGCTCATTTTCATCATCTGAGTCAGATGTCACCACCAGAAGGTTGATTATCTTTTTTGATGGTTTGGGTTCTTTAGTTTCCGCATGAGAGTGTTGCTGTTTTAAGACTCCGACGGGATCCCCAGGGTGCAGCCTGGGACTGTGGGACCACTGTGCCCCCTTAACTCTCCAGCCTGGACTGTCTCTCATAATGCTTTGCTAGTGACAAGCAGCAAGCCCCTCCAGGCACTGTGATTACTCAGCACAACACATGTGGAGCCCCACATCCAGCTAGATTGCATGAATGCTCCCAGAGCCGCTCATAAATCACACGGAGCAAAGCACCAGCCAAATCCCCCCAGCTCCCAGCCTTGTACCTCAGGAATATAACGTCTTGCACTGCTCAAGACGGTCAGTGCAGATTTATTAATTGGTTTACCACTTCATCAATGGAAAGTGGATATATACACGAGCCTTTGCAAACCTGAGCAGATTTACCACACACTTAAGGGAAACTCACTGGTAAAGATAAACAGTAAAAGAAGTTTATTGACTACAAAGATATATTTTAAGTTATAAGCAAAAAGTCAGAGTTGGTTACCAAAAGAAATAAAATATAAGCATGCAGTCTAAACTCTCAACCCTATTAGACTGGGTAACACCGAGATTCAGCAGTTTTTCTCACCCCACTGGATATTGCAGTCCATAGTATACAGGTTTCACTCTTGAAACCCTGGGCCAGTCCCCTCTCTTGGAGTTTTAAGTCTTCTCAGTGTCCTTGTTGCTTGCAGCATAGGTCAGGGCAGGTGAAAGGCGAAGCATGGGCCCCCGCGTTCTGTTTTATACCCTTAGTCCATGTGCTTGGAGAACACAAGTCCAGGCATGTCTGGGGGGTATTGTTGAGTCCCCAGGCAAGGTTGAGCAATTCCCTTGGTGTGACCTTATGCAGGTGAATCATTGAATTGTAGCTCCTTTGCTGGACAATGGCTGTTGATTGTTTGACACCCCGCCCGGGGGTTGGTTACTTTCCTTGCTGTTGTTTCTGGGGAGGTAATGTCTGGCTGGTTCCCCAATTTACAGCATGTATTAGTGACAGCCATATAACACAATCTCATAACTTCATATGCACTAAAGATATACATATTTAGATAGAACAGTGACTTTCAGCCAATCATAACCTTTTCCCTGATCCCTCACAGGGCATGCTTTATATGCAATATCACACTTATAGACAGATGACGAATATGGGGGTTACAAGATGCTCCCCCAAGGTATAGTATGTCACAAGGACTTCTGAGAGCATGCGCCACACCTTGTCCTTCTCAGATTTTGGAAGACACTTCAGATTCTTAAACCTTGGGTCGAGTGCTGTAGCTATCTTTAGAAATCTCACATTGGTACCTTCTTTGTGTTTTGCCAAATCTGTAGTGAAAGTGTTCTTAAAATGAATAACGTGTCCTGGGTCATCATCCGAGACTGCTATAACATGAAATATATGGCAGAATGTGGGTAAAACAGAGCAGGAGACGTACAATTCTTCCCCAAGGAGTTCAGTCATAAATTTAATTAACACATTTTTTTAACAAGCATCATCAGCATGGAAGCATATCCTCTGGAATGTTGGCTGAAGCATGAAGGGGCATAGGAATGTTTAGCATATCTGGTATGTAAATACCTTGCAATGCATGCTACAAAAATGCCATGCGAACGCCTCTTCTCACTTTCAGGTTACATTGTAAATAAGAAGCAGGCAGCATTATCTCCCATAAATGCAAACAAACTTGTTTGTCTTAGCAATTGGCTGAACAAGAAGTAGGACTAAGTGGACTTGTCGGCACTAAAGTTTTACATTGTTTTGTTTTTGAGTGCAGTTTTGTAACAAAAAAATCGACATTTGTAAGTTGTGCTTTCATGATAGTACTTGTATGAGGTGAATTGAAAAATGCTATTTCTTTTGTTTATCATTTTTACAGTGCAACTATTTGCAATCAAAAATAATATAAAGTGAACACTGTACACTTTGTATTCTGTGTTGTAATTGAAATCAGTATATTTGAAAATGTAGGAAAAACTCCAAAAATATTTAATAAATTTCAATTGGTATTCTGTTTAATAGTGCGATTAATTTTTTTGAGTTAATTGTGTGAGTTAACTGCGATTAATCAACAGCCCTAATTAGCAAAAAATTCAATCATATTGGATTTGGAACACTTACAAAGAAAATTGTGTAATCCACATAAGTACAAAAATTGCACCAAGTCTCAGCCACAGAGCTTCCAGGATTTAATTATGTCTGGAAACTGAAGTATGCACATTATTCGGTGGCCTGCCCACATTAGGGCTATGAGGATCATTAGTGGGATTTTATGGGATAGTTTGCACTAAGGCTGATGTTGCTATATTTGACATTTGAAGACCTCTGTCCCCAAAATGGTCAGTACTTTATACTTTTACAAATGTAGCATCTCCATTTTACAGATGGGCTATCTGAGGCAGAGATGGTTAAGTGACTTGCTTAAAGTCACACAGTGAGCCAAAGGCAGAGTCTGTAATAGAACTCAGGTTGCCAGACTTCCAGTTCCATGCCGTATGTGCCAGACACATTTGCCACTCCACAAAGTGTTAAAGTTGATCTGCAAAAACAAAAATAATTGTACCCGTTTGCTTCTCTATGATGTATGGAGATGGCCTGAACAACTACTCCAAATTTATTTCTATTGGTTTTTATATATTAGGAATATCAGATGTTGACGTCTCTATAATGTTGCTGGAGTACTGTTTAGAGAATTGGAGTGAGCTTTCTCAGCCTTCAGAAAGGAAAAGGGTTTAATTAACTGAAATTTTTAAAAGCATCTTTTCCCCTTGTGTATTTACATGTACATATCCATAGGGAGTCCTACAGAGTTCTCAGCAAGAGGGGTGGAGGCCAAGATTAGAAGCCTCTCTAAGGATAGGGAAAATACTGAATGAATGAATGAATGACAAAGATCTTCCGGGAGTGAAGTAGAAAATTACATATATTTCTGATAGATGTATGTTACAAGAATTAAACAAAGCTGCTTTTGGATACAATAATACATTTTTGATCAGCTAGCAGCAAATATTCCTTTCTAATCTAATTTCTGTTGCTTAATTCAAATGAATATTGTTTACTGGTCAATATTTTTCATTTTAATTATGTTTTTTCCTATGTAGCTCCCCAGAGGAATTTTGAAATTGCCTTCAAGATGTTTGATTTGAATGGTGATGGTGAAGTGGATATGGAGGAGTTTGAACAGGTAAAATTCTGGGAGGTTGACTTCTTAAAGATGTACAACCTAAGACTTAATTGTAATGCTTACTATACAACATAATTATAATGGTTTGCTACTAGTAGGTATTGGCACATAGGTGATAGTTCATACATGCTCTTTCTATGCACCACAGCAGACCCTCTTCACTCCAGCTTCCAGTAGGGAACCTTTAATTAAACCAGGAGAATTACATGCACAATAATCCTCAAAGCCACCATCATTGTTCTATGACTTGAGTCTTGAGAAGGTCTCATGGACAACCCTAGCTCCACAAGCAGAAGAAATGAATTGCTGTGCTAGTGTAACTAGTGTTAGGGATTCTGACCTTGCCTGCTCATATTTTTATTACGAAGCCATTGTTGTGTCATAATAGTGAATAACTGTGCTTAATCTGTCTGAAACATAAGACTTTATCCATTTGCTTAGAGCTACTTTAGCATCTTTGCTTGACTGCTTTGAATTTACTTTCCTATGTTAATTTTCCCCAACCAAAGTAACATTCCATCCCCAATCATATTTGATTTACACAGTTTGACTTTTCAGGTGATGAACCTGAGCCCAGCATTGGTATCGTCCATTGGAGGTAGGGTGAGACAAAACAGATCTGATTTCTGCTATGTGTATGTACACATGTTCACTCTCTTTCAGATTAGTGATGTGTTGTTTTTTCTTGGACCACAATTTGTGTGGAAAACAGGCTTAAGAGCTCTGAAACTCAAAAAACATGCTTAATTGCCAAATGATAGAAAACCTCCAGAGTTGTAAGACTGATGAAAAAGAAAGGTGAATGCATTCACAAAGAGAAGGAGGTAATTAGCTAGCTGAATGATGAGGCACAGTACAAAACAAGGGAATAGATTCAGAGGAAAAAGAAGGAAAAAATGTTATTCTACATTTGTCTCCATTATCCATTTATACCAACATCAGTTATTATTAATAATATATTGGATTGTACTTCAAATGTTTCATTTTCCTCCAGAACAACAAGACACAACCAAAATATTCAAAAGTATAATTAGATACACAGAATGCAAATTAGTGGCGTGGCCAGTGTTCTAAACACTGACTCCCTTATACAAATATCAACCATATCCTATTTCAGTAGTATGTTTATGTTCTCATCATAGCGTCTGAGTGCCTGCCTGCATCTCTTATGGAAAAACTAGGCTAAGATCTAATGTTCATCCAAGTCCTCTCCCCTCAAACTCCACACTTTTTAAACAAGAGGCAGAACATTTTAAGCTCTTACGGACATTGCAGACATTCTGGCATTTTCTGCTGAATTCCTGGATGAATAATATATCTTCTCCATTGGAAGAGTTCCTTTGATCCTTTTCCTGCCTAGGTATATTAAGAAAAGCAAACAAAATTAGTAAGAGTAATATCTTACACTTACTAATAGTTTAATTTCCAAAGCAATGTTATATAAAGCAAAGTAACAATTGATAGTGATTTTTCACTTTCATTTTCTAAGATTACCTAGTTTCTTCTTTTTAGTATTTGGTTCCAAAACACATTAATCTACTGTGCTGTAAAATACTGCATATAACAAATAGTCCTTCATTGTGACAATTGGGAATCATGTCATTTTTTCCTGTACAATATTTAAGCCAACCCTGAACTATGGAGGGGTATAATGAAAATTAGTTTAGCAAGCAACTCTAAAGGAGACACAGAAGCATTGTATGAGCAGTCTATAATTTTTACCATACTTTTATAACTCTACGCATTATAGCTCTACACGTCGCCCGTCAGTATTTTATAACAATGAAAAGCAGAAACTACCAGTTGTGTGTGGAAACACAGGATTTGGTGTCAGACTAAGAGACCTTACCTTTGAGTCTTTTTAATGGAGAACAACTGGAAAGTATGTATGCTCGTGAAATGGTACTCCAACTGAGAATGTCCATGGATATCTGAGAACATAAAGGTATCTGTGAATAATCTAGCTACAAATTCTTACCATATATTGATTAATTTTAGAGAGACTGTTACACAGTATGCTGATGGTATGTATTATTCATTGAAAACTAGGGCCAGAACAGGCGAGATTTTATTTTAATTTACTTTGTTTTCTCAAAATAAAGGAAATCTTTGGGATCCATTCTGCCCCATATCACTTATGGGTATAGTATCACTGCTGTTTGTTTACTTCAAAGGAAGAGCTGTGTAACATGCTTTACTTCCTCCATCTAGTTTATTTGTTACAGTTATGCACACAATAGTGTGTGTATAATTCCCAATTGATATGGATTCAGATAATTGCTTGTAAAATGAAACTACAGGACTATTGCATCAATCCATCTCTTCCAGAGTGGAAATATGAATTCAGAATTATTACTCAAGTCATGGCCCCATTCACCACTTGCGATAGGTGATGGGGGGATTAAGCCCCATCAAGCAAGGTTAAGAACTCCAATTGGTCATACTCTGCACCTGAGGGATGATTAACTAATTACCTCCTGGCCAAAGAAGGCGGAGCTAGTTCTTATAAGTAGACTAAGGGAGCTCAGTTAGGGAGACAGGTGTCTCTGGTGTAGAGAACCATGGGATAGGTTTTTACAGACAGGAAACACAGGAGAAAGAACTCTACTGGAGCTGGTTAGGTTCCTGCAGGGGAATCCCTAAGATGGGGCCAACAAGAGAAGGGCAGAAAGGGGATTAGTTAAAGATTTGTTTGGACTTTGATTTGGACTTCTTTGTGCTACCTCAGAAGAGATTTAGACTTTCATGTGACTTGGCTGGAGGTGAGCTGGGAGAAGACAAAGGCTGGGAAAGGCCATTGCAGGGCAGGGAAGGGCCCAGGAGGGGGCTCCATAGACTAGTTCTTGTGCAAGGCCGTGACCAAAGACAAGGGGGTGCCAACATCATGAGAACATAATATTATGATACTGTATCCCTAAATACTACTGGCCTGGTTTTAAACAGTGTTGAGCTCCCTCATCTTCCATCAGCCCATACAAATCAGAAACATTATATTTCCGACCATTCATGTAGTTCCGGAATATACCACTTCCTAGTCATTTGACCATATTTAACAATTCCAAAAAGCTTCTTACACTACATTTAGTAATCAAAGTCAGTTTAAGAATTTTTACATGCAGCTAAAATCAATCATTGTTGAATGTTGATAAATTAATTTACAGTACCTTAAGAAAAAGAGAAAATAGATAATTGATTGCCAAACAGAAATCAAGACTGTTTTTTATTTTGGATTTTTTATATAAAATAAGTTTTGAGGATCAAAATTTATAAAGTACTTTGAAGATGAAAGTGCTAAATTCTATTAAGTAATCCCAGTCCACATGATATGCAAAGGGAAGTTTCAGGTGCATTAAAAGGACATTTACAAGCTGTTAAGGATATGAATATCTATTTATGCTAAGCTTCTTACATGCTTCTGTGCATGTACAAAGGAATAAAGTATATTTTGAAGAAGACTATAATCTCCCCAAAACTTAAATCCACAGCTTCCCAGTCAGCAGTTGAAAGGAGCTGTCTGTGGAAAGTGGGAATAGGTCAAGAATATCTAAATGGGTGCAGCTATTTAAGAACAAGAACATTGACTCTAGTGAATATCCAAAGAACATTCCTAGATTCAGCTCTTTTCAGATATCAGTATAAATGATTTGATATACTTTGCAAATAAAACCCCCCAAAACCAAACCAAACAAAAACCCTCACTGTGCTTCCTTTGGTAGGGATATGTGTGTTTTTCAAGAATTTATGCAAATACCCAAGAGGGCATATGATATTCCAAGGTGCAGTTCAGACCAATGAGGTATTGCCACCATTGCTCTGCACCTTTGGGTGCCTCACGATGCTTTGCTGCTGTAGCTCCAGCATAGGCTGCACACAGCTTACCGGCATGTAGGTTGCACCCTGAGTGTTTGTGTATAGCCATAGCCCTGGTTCAGCAACTCTGATTCCAGTAGTCTGTCAGCAAACACCAGCCACACTCTAGCTTACAGCACCCTTGGTTACCACTTGCACGGTGATCCCAACACATTCCCAATCCTGGATTTTCTTCCAAAATGTGTGTTCTGCACTGTCCAGCCTCTCCTGGCCAGTCCAGATATATTAGGTCTATTGCCCCTCTCAAAGGATCAATATATAACAGTTTGCCACCCTAAATAGAGTTACCCACACAGTTCACAACACTGGATTAGTTTTCATTAAAAAATAAAACAAGTTTATTTAACTACAAGGAGATAGGATTCAAGGGAATACAAACATAAGCCATTAAAGGCAAAAATAGTTACAAGAGAAATTGAGATAAAATACTTCCTAGCACTAAAACTTAACAAACTAGACTTGATTCAAGGTGGAAATATTTATACTTCCATACACACAATCCATGTTATGCTTTCGGACTCTGTGATTTATTTTAGATTGAGACAAACAAAAGGGCCATGATCCTTATTAGGGCCTGCAAGCACTGCTATCGTATAAATCGGGGTGGCCAAACTGTGGCTTACGAGCCACATGCAGCTCTTTTACCATTAAATTGTGGCTCGCGGAGCCCCCCATGTCCTCCCGTTTTCCACCTACCAGTCTTTGGGGGACGGGGGAGCTCAGAACCTCTGCCTTGCAATGGGGTGGTGCAATAGGGGCTTCTCCCAGTGGGGAGGGGAGGTCTCGGGGCTTCTGCCCAGCGGGGATGAGGGGCCTCGGGGCTTCAGTCTTGCAAGGAACACCTGCCAGGGCTCGGGGCTTCAGCAGGAGCAGGGCTGAAGCTCCAGCCCCTGGCTCCCATCAGATGTGCCCCAGCTCTCTAACTTCTGAAGATTGTCATATGTGGCTCGGAGGACCAGTAAGTTTGGTCACCCCTGATATCAATTATCTCCATGAATGCGCTATTTCCTGTGTAACAGTCTGCCATGAGCTGAACACTAGCCTCTGCAGGAAAAAGTCCTTAGAGATTCAGAGACAGTGTTCCAAACCAATCATAAATTACATAGCTTTATACATAATTACTTACAGACCGTCACCTATATCTGTATGCAAAACTCCTGTTAATGTTGACATTTTTGACAAATGGAAAATGAGGTGACTATGATCAATACTATTAAAGGCAAAATGCTTCGATTTATATTTTAGTGTATTAAAAATGTGAATCCTCATTCTGATTTCATTCTTTTTTTGTTACACATTTTTCTTTCCAAATTGTTTTAAATGACTTTTCTTGTATTGTAAGCACATCAAAATGTCTGTAATTTGGGGGAAGCATTTAGGCTGTGGGGAGCACAACAAATCATTTCATTTTTAGGGTGCAGCTAAGCCTGTATCTCTGCTCCTCCCCCCCCCCCCCCAGTTGGTCCTCTCACAAGCATGTGACATTAGCCTTTAGAATATTTCCTGCAGGGCAGTACTAGCTCACCACTTTCCTAGGTCTAGCATTCCACATCCACTTATAACAAGGGTCCTACGTGCTTTTGATATTTAAAACCTTAAGCAGCTGCCGCACTGCTTTCCTCCCCCTTCCAGCATGAGGAGGAGGGAGAGGGGACTGCCAGCAGTGCAGCCAGTGTTTAACCTCCAAAGTCTTCCAAGGAGAGAGAGGTGAACAGCCCTTCACTTCCTCCTTTCAAAGTATCCCTTTCCTATTGAGTCTAAGGTTTGTTCCACTAGAGTCCCTTGGCTTGGGCTGACAGAGGATGCAGGCATACTCTGAATATCATAGCAGTTGCACTCCTTTGACATTGCTTTCTAAAACGGGATTTTCAGAGGCAGTAAATGGTCAAACCTGGTAAATTGTTTTAATTTGAGAATGGCTGGGGCCTCTCTCTCACGCTTACCATTTTTCTTCTTAGCAACACAAAGAAGCTCTCTTCCTACTGAGGTTATTCCGTGACTCAGAGGGTGGGGCCAGCAGCAGAAGGCTGTCACAGGGCAGGCTGGTGAAAGGGCTAGGAAGTAGGTGTGTCAGGGATATACATCTTGTATGACACATGCATTTGGCAACCGTATGTGTATCTCAGGTAAAGAGTCATGCATTTCACAGAGATTGAGACTCCTCCACTGAACAGCCTTTGCCCAGGTGAGGAAGGGGATTTGGGTTGGGCTAGAAGACCTTGTGTTTCTTGGTTTCCTTTTCAGTTGAGTGCTGTTAACATTTTCTGTACAGTTCACAACTCTTAGCACTTACCAAAGCCTCAGATTCCTATCCCAGGAGTCAGCAACTATCATTCCCCCTTCCCATTTTACAAATAACAAGGTCACAGCAGGCAGGGCAGGGAATAGAATCCACATCTGTCATATGATAGAACCTAGTCTCACCACTGAGCCACCCAGCCTTTTAGGCTGAACGTGCTAAATCTGTGGATGTGACTGACCTCTCTCTAACCACAGCCCTAACTGTTAGATGGCACTCTCTTTCCAGAACCAGGATCAGTACCTAGGGAGCCGTATATCCAACAGCCCACTGCTGCCTCTGAAACACCTGTTTAATCCACTGGGAAAGTGGGTGTTGCCCACCTCTAGGGACTATTCCACACAGAGGATAACAACCTACTTCTGATACTAGTTGCTTGTTTAGTTCAAGTGCAAGAGTTCTGTGTTCTGTATTTGAAGGGCCTGAGTTCAAATCCTGCTGCCTATCCATGTGGGGGGAAATAGCATATGATCATGTAATTAAAGACCATCTCAATACTTCTGCACAAGGGGGCAGAATTAAGGTTGCATGGGTAGGAAATGCCAGAACTGTGGTTAAATTTGAGTGCTTGACTGCAATTTTAATCTTTTTAATAACATATTTACGTATCTATGGGGAAACAACGTGTTCAGGGCACTGGACTTGCGACGAAGGAGACTAGGGTTCAATTCTCAGTTCTGCCACAGTGTTGCTTGGTGACCTTGGGCAAGTCTCATTTCTCCTTGTGCCTCCACTTCCCAATCTGTAAAATGGGCAGAATGATACTGACATTTGTACAGCAATTTGAGGTCTATGGATGAAAAGTGCTATATAAGAGCTGGGTATTATTATTATGCTGATTATATTATATACACATAGTGAGTTTTGTCTAAATAGACGGAACCTCCCCTTAAATTGGTATGAGGACCCTGGAGTAATTGTAATTGTTATAAATTCATAGTGTTTTTAAGGCTGGAAGGGACCATTAAACCATAAAATCTGACTTGTATAACACAGGCCAAAGAATTGCACCCAGTTACCCTGAATTGAGTCCAGGAACTTGTGTTAGATTTTAGTCAATCTGTGGTCGAAGGCATCAAGAGATGGAGAATCCACCACTTCATTGATAGTTTGTTCCAATAGTTAATAACTCTTAAAAAACTGTCTTATTTCTAATTTGAATTTATCTGGCATTAACGTCCAACTATTGGTTTTTGTTAGCCCTTTCTCCTCTGGATTAAAGAGCCCTTTTAGTACCCAGTATTTTCTCCCAGGCGTGGTACTCATACACCATAATCAAGTCACCTTTTTGATCTTCTTTTTGATAAGCTAAACAGATTGAGTCCTTTAAGTCTCATGCTGTAAGACATTCTTTTCATCCCTCTAATCCTTTGTGGCTCTTTTCTGTACCCTTTCCAATTTTCAGCATCCTTTGAAAATGTGGACACCAGTACTGGGTCTCATCAAATGCTGTATACAAAGATAAAATCGCTTTCCTACTCCCCTGTTTATCGTACAAGAATCCTGTAGCCCTTTTTGCCACAGTGCAGCATTGAGAACCCATAATTAATAGTTTTTTGCTACCACCCCTAATCTTTTCTAGAGTTGCTGCTCTCCAGAATACTTCCCTATTCTGTAGGCATGGCATACATTCTTTGTTCCAAGATGTATGACCTCACATTTGGCTATATTAAAACATTTTGTTTGTATGGGTCCAGATACCCTAGCAATCCAGGTCACTCTGGACTGCCCTGTTCTCATTATTTACCGCTCTGACAGTCTTTGAGTGCAGCACTCAATTGGCTTCATTGTAACTGGTCTACGGAGTTTCTCAAGAGTGTTCCTTCTGGTCATCTTTCGTGATGGCTGGGACGTACTTCTCCCAGCCAAGCAACCAGGTTCTTTGGTGGGTGCAGGCAAGCTTACAGCTGTTCCTTCCCCTCATCCCATGCAATACATCTTGGGCTCTTGCCTGCTGCTTTTGAAAAGATAAGCTCCCTGTTGTCTACAAGTGACTCTGCTTCCCTACTGCTTTTGCTGGTAGCACTGTTCCCTGCAGGACGGGGTCATGTAGGGCACCAAACTGGTTAAAATATGAAGATGATAACCACATTTTTAATGTATGTAACTGATTATTATTTTTAACTGAGGATTGGAAAAAAATAAAAATCTAGATCCAACCACCCTATGCACTGAAGTAACAAAGTAACTCCTCTTTGTACATCTAACCACTTTACAGACTTAACAGCCACAAAATGGTCAAGAGTAACACTTCAGCCAGTTGGCACAATTAACAGTGATACATTGGCCAACACAAGTATTTCTTTATGATGCTATTTTCCCGGCTAACTACTTTTTTTCCTGCTTAGGTCCAGAGCATTATTCGCTCCCAAACCAGCATGGGCATGCGTCACAGAGATCGTTCTACTACAGGAAATACTCTAAAGACTGGCTTCAACTCTGCCCTGACGACATACTTTTTTGGATCTGATCTGAAAGGAAAGTTGACAATCTCAAACTTCTTAGGGTTCCAGCGCAAACTTCAGCATGATGTTCTGAAGCTTGAGGTGAGAATTTGTTGACTTTGGGGGGTCAACAAAATCGGTCATGGAGTGCACTACTGTGGTGTACTGAGATCACCTGAAGGCTGTCTTCATAAGGGTGAGCGTGGATGTGGGCAAGGAGGGAGAGCTGGTGCTTAAATGTATTATAGCGGCTGCTGATACATAGGAATTATCATACAGAATCAGATTAGTGGTTCAATATCTTGTCGACAACACTAGATACTTCAGAAGAAGGCACAAGTGATCCTGCAATAGGCAGTTATGGGACAACCTGCCCAAGTAGAGTTTGTCTGATCCTCAATAGTTTGTGGGTGATTTGTGCCCCAAAGCATGAGGGCTCATATCCTTTCCAGAACTCTTGGATTTTAAAAAAATTGCTATTATAAGTCTGGATAGTCTTATTTATATAAGTGTTCGATCCTTTTCTGAATCCTGCTAAACTCTTGGTTTCAGTGACATATTGTGCCAATAACCTTCTCAGGGTAACTTACATTCTGTGAATAGGTATCTTTGCATTAATTTTGAATTTTCCACCACTTAATTTAATTGAATATCCCATTCTTGTAATATATGAAGCTCCCAGTCAACACACACTCATATTCATATATATGAATATAAGCACCTGTTGGTTTTAAAATGTAGCTATACTCAGAAAAACAAGTATAAAAATAGCATTATGGAATTCCATGTTCACTTTCTCTTAATTTCCAAATAAAATCTACTCACTTTAAAGTAAAACCTTTATTTTTCTGACTAGCAGTCCTGCAAACTCAACCTGGGCTCTAAGTGACCAAGTATAATGTCTTACATTTCAGCCAGAAATAACTATTTTGCAAGCTAAATAATCCCCTCACTTAAACCTGTGCAGCTCAGTTACTTTCAGTAAGGTGGCACAGGTGTAACTAGCTAAACCAGTAATGAACTCAAACAATTCTCAGAGTAGCAGCCGTGTTAGTCTGTATCCGCAAAAAGAACAGGAGTACTTGTGGCACCTTAGACACAAATAAATAAATTTGTTAGTCTCTAAGGTGCCACAAGTACTCCTGTTCTTCCTTCAAACAATTCTGTTTGAGGTACAAGAAGGAACAAAATCCAGTTGCTCTTTCTTTGCTGCTAACTGGAGTAAAAAGGAATCAATTTCTCATTAAATTAATCATTACAAATAATTAATCCTTAAAGTCAGCAAATGTGACACTGAACACACACAGGGAGCAGATTGATTGAGTTAGGAATATGCCTTTTTTTTAATACTGGCATTTTTCAGACTAGAACTAACTACATTTTTTTGTTCCTCAGTGGTCTGTAAGTTGGAAATGAGAAAAATAAACATTAAGAGTTGTGGAAAAATGAAACTAGTTTCACAGTAATGAGTGTTATTTCACAGTAATGAGGGTTATAAATAAATAAGGTTATTTCATGTTCAGTGGCTGCAACAGCACTATACTCCCTGAGTTTTCCAAACACCAACATTGCCCCCTCTACACCATGCAAAAATTGTCCCTGAACTATCTTCCTTGCCTGTTGCTTTAACCCACGTAGTCCCTCCACTAGCTCCCTCTTCCCCAGTGCCTTGGGTTCAAGCTTGTCACTGTTCTCAAAGCCTTACATAACTTAGCCCCTCTCCACTACCTGCCTTTGGTTGTTTCATGTCACCCCTCCCCCCCCACCCCCCATTGTCTCCTGTACTGCACCAATGATGTTAGTCTTGTCCATTCATTCATCTGCTTCTTGCACACATATCTCAGTGGCTTCATTCATGTTCTTTCCTATGTGAGGAACATTCTTCTGAGTTCATTCATCGCTTTATTCACATTCATGTATTTCCTAAAGACCCATTTCTGCAATGAAGCAGATGGCGTTTCTAGCTGACTTGTAAATACAAGCTTGAAGAGTAATTTTGAATAACTTGTCTTTATTTTAAAAAAGTAGTATTATAACTTAACCTTGTATTACCAAAGCCCTTCAAATCACCACCTTGATCACTGAAGTAATTTTTGAACCCCCTTCTCCTTGCATTGAATTTTTGTCTTTAGGTAGTAAGCTCCTTTGGGCAGGGCATATTCCTTCTTATTCTGTTTAGAAAGTGTCTAGCATATTATGGCATTATCAGAAACCAATCCCCTATGGGTCACTCTCTTATAATTCTGAGGAACTTTTCCAATATATGATCAACTGGTTTGTTTGGGGTTTTTTGGGAGTTTTTTTGGAGTGAGTTTAAAAAATCACCATCAATAATACTCAAGGTTGTTTTGAGTGCTATAACTGCAGAATAGAGTTTGAAGAAAAACTGTTTACTTCTCTAAAGGGTTGGATTTATGTATGCTTCAACCACTGATTTTAAACTCTATAAAGCAGCTGTTCTCACAGTGGGACGCTCAGATTTTTCTTCCGGGAAAATGCAAAAAGGGACATTATCTTACTTTGGGCTCTGCCAACAGAAAACAGTCTATTGTATTGAAATACTGTATGATCAGTTTCTTTTGCTGATTGCTAAGGTGAAAGAACTCTTTCTAGCTAGGTTAACAGCCTTCCCTGTTGATGTGGTGGTGGTTTTTTTTTAATTGTGTTTTGTTTTTTTTTATAATCAAAATGTTCACACATGTTTCAGGAAAGTTTCAGCTGAAACCCCCTCTGAATAGGATTGTATCAGGTAACGCCTGAATATTTTTCTCATTCTCTACAGGAGAAATGCTAAGACAACTCTTAAGAAACATTGGAATAGTAAAGTCCTCTACTTCCTCCTTTTGCTTACTTTTTTAAACTTAATTATATTTTCCATAATTTTGTTAAAATCTCAGCAATTTGCTCCATCACGGATGTGAAGAGTAAAAGTAACCACAACCAGGGAAAAAACAGAAGCTTTTAACAGCATAATAGAACTCTCCTGTGGTTTGGGTACTTCCATGAATTATTTTTCTCTCCACTTATACCTTACTGCTTAATTACAGCCTTTTAAATCAGAAATTGGCATGCAATGTAGTTTATGGTTCCCACTGTATAAATTAAAACATGTATGAGCTATGCCGTTGATTGGTTGCCCTCCGTATGTTGCTTTTTCTTACTAGATAGATGATGTATTATAATGGTGAGTTAATGCAGATATTTCCTCACTTGTTGTCACTCTGCGAGAGAAGTGCTGATGTCCCTCCTCTTGTAACAACCTTTTATGTACTTGAAAACTGTTCTCATATCCCCTCTCTGTCTTCTCTTCTCCAGACTAAACAAACCCAATTTTTTTCAATCTTCTCTCATAGGTCATGTTCTCTAGATCTTTAATCATTTTTGTTGCTCTCCGCTGGACTTTCTCCCATTTGTCCACATCTTTCCTGAAATGTGACACCCAGGATTGGACACAATACTCCAGTTGAGGCCTAATCAGTGTGGAGTACAGCAGAATTACTTCTCGTGTCTTACTTACAATACTCCTGCTAATACATCCCAGAATGATGTTTGCATTTTTTGCAACAGTGTTACACTGTTGACTCATATTTAGCTTGTGATCCGCTATGACCCCCAGATCCCTTTCCGCAGTACTCCTTCCTAGGCAGTCATTTCCCATTTTGTATGTGTGCAACTGATTGTTCCTTCCTAAGTGGAGTACTTTGCATTTGCCCTTATTGAATTTCATCCTGTGTCTTGTGTTCCTAAAGTTCATGCTTCAGATGGTCACCTAAAAGTCAGGAAGGAATGTTTTCCTCCTTCCCCCCCCCCCCCCCCAATACATCCTGGGTGTGTGGTTTTTTGTTTGTTTGTCTGTCTGTCTCTTTCCTCAGAAGTATCAGAGATGGCCATGATTAGACATGTGACACCGAACAGAGAGGGCCAGTTTTCTGAGGTGTCAGTGAGCATTCTCTCTATCACATGCTTAGCTGGCTGGCTCTTGCTCACATGTTCAGGGTCTAATTAATCACGTGAGATTAGGAAGGAATTTTCCCCCAGGTCAGATTGGCAGTGACCTGGGGTTGATTTTTCCTCCCTTTTCAGCATGGATTGGAGGTCACTTGCTGGGATTTCTTGTATGTAGATCATATCGATAGCATATTGATGAACAAGAGCACTGATTAAGTGTCACTTGGCTGTCGATAAACCCTCAGCGATGAGTTGTAAGACTCCACGTGTGGGCCCAATGATCTGGAACCCGCGGGATTGCACATTCTTAGGGTTACTGGAAGCGTCGGTACTGGGATTCTTCAAGTATGAACTTACGGAATTTGGTTTTCTAGGAGGATCATTAGCTTCCCTGAACTGTGTTGGGTACTGACAGCTGGCGCCACAAAAACGCTGATCCATTGCCACCCTTGCTGGGAGTTTCAGGATACATCTCACTTTAAGAATTCCCTGCCATTGCAGAGGCGTCAGGCATTGCTGCACCTTGGTGCCTCCTATTGTCTATGGCACAGAACAATTTAGTCTCCTGTAGGCTGTAATATTTTGGTCTAATTTTGCATCTTGGATTTAGTGTGCAGGTGCTGGGTGGTACTGGAGACCTGTGATATATAGGAAGTCAAACTGGAAAATCTGGTGGTCCCTTCAGACCTTTTAAATTCTGCAACTATTTGGTCCTGTTTTTTGTAAAACCCTGCAGACTACGAAAAATCTTCAGTCATGGTTACCATAGTGAAATAAGATTGCTGCACAATTAGTGACTGTATGTCAGCTTGTTTTTCTACTGTTATAATTTATGTGGATGAAAAGATGATTGATTTCAATTGGATTCTTGACTATTGACCAGCAGTGGTGGAAATAAGAGTGTAGCAATGTCAAATTGGTTAAGCTCCATAAGCTATTAAACACTGCAAGAATCTGTATGTCAAGCAGTTAAAGAAAAGATTTTTGAAGGCCAGTTGTAACTTTTCAAATTGAATCTACCAAGCTGTCACGGGGTGCACTCACTGCTAGTGGCGCCGCCTCCTGTCCATGCTCGGGATTAGTTCTGCCAGGTTTTGCACCCACCCCCTCTCCGAAGGTGTCTTTCCGATCATCCACTTATCCTTGCTCCAGGA